ACGGTTAGGGATGGCGACGTATTTCTCCTTACAATATCACCCCCGCATCAAACATTAAGGTGACGAGAATAAAGGAAATGATCACCAACTAAAAAAAAACTCTTGAATAGTAAACAAATTCTCCTTGTCAGCAGCTCAGAAAGGAAACGTAGAAAGAACGTTATGGAGAATATGCATACTGATGTTAGGATGTGAAGGGTTAACACCGTCAGTGACAAACTTGAAAAGGACTTTGCTCCCCTCGATAGTGATGCATAAAATGGCTCAGCCCCAGACCCAGAAAACCCACCCTGTCAGAGCTTATTCCAGTCTCTTTATCATGAAGTGATGCTTCTCCACCTGGATGGGGTGCTATTGCATCGCATTTTACCTCCCACTTCTTGGTGAGGTGATCCTGCCAGTTCAAGGTAAAGTCCTTATGTGAAGAGGAACTGCGGGAGGGAAGTGCTCACTTTAGAAAATAACAAAACGATCCCTAACCCAGATTTACCGAGCCGGAGTCCAGCGCATTCCGGCTTAGCGCTTGATCACTGCATCTCCATAGTCATAAATTGCTGTAGCTATCTGTAGCAGTTTTACCAAATAAAGTCCCAAACGGCAGTGCAAAGTAATTCCTTCACTGGGATGGAGTTAAACAATTTTGTCACATTAAGTTACTTCAAACTGTTGACACCTTGGTGAACACTTCATTAAAGGTTTCAACATAATTTTATGTGAGTAAGGCGAAAATACGCCTGTAAAACGTAGTTTGCAGGCCAGCCTGAAGTTCAAAACTTTTAAAAATCAAGATCTAACTATAACACCATTGGTCGTAGGGTTCTTGGCCATTGAGAAAGGCGAACTTGAATACAACTGCGTCCGATTTAAGCTGTGCGTGCTCCAAAAGTTGCAGCATTACCATGAATATTGAGGCATCAAATCAGTAAGACCCACCACCATGTTAACTTTAATTTCTGATCTCAAAAACGTACACTGACGCTAGTTTACAATTTACTTTCCCT